AAGTTAGATAATCAATTCGACTTGCTTGCTTGGGAGAAGGAAGATAAGGACAAGAAAAGGAGGAGAGGGAGAAAAGTAAGAAAAACAGAGTCAAAGGAAAAAGACAATAGAGATCCCAGTTAATTTAATTAAAAATATGTCTTTTATAATAAATTGTAATATATACAAATTAATAATATGTCAAAATATAAGCATACTTGGCTAGTCCCAAAAAGGTCCTATTGCCTATTTACACTAATGCCAGCTTGGTCATCCAAAATGTTTTCAGTTCGTTTATAGTACAATGGAACTAGAAGCTTGAAATTTGTTTTGTGAAAACTTATGAAAGGTTTATATTGAGTAGTACATTAATTTATAAGCATTGTGTACCTATGTATACCTCTAAAATTAAGAAATAGAACATATTCTCCCTCTCTTCTACCAGAAATCGATTTCAAGCATCAACTGCTGCTTATTGGTATTCTTACTTAAAATGTAGTTAATTTTATTAGATTCAAAATATTTGAAAACTAAGTAATTTGTTGGTATTTTTATTAAAGAGAAGAGAATTATTTAAATGTTTAAATTAAGCCTAAAATCTGTTCAAAATTTTTAAAAAGTTCTTTTGTGCACAAAACAGCTTTCTCTCACATATATTATGTCAACTGAGAGTGTTACTTTCTCAAATTTGATTATGTGTTTTTAATAGTCAAAATTGAAACCAAGACAAGAAATAAATTTTATATTAAATTTAAAATTCTTTAAAGGGAAATGCTCTGTTAGTTTGGACCTCTATATGAACAGCTTTCTCTCACATAAGTCAACTGAGAGAGTTACTTTCTCAAATTTGATTGTTTATTTATTTTTAATTTTGAAAATTGAAGACAAGAAATAAATTTTATATTAAATTTAAAAGGCATTGACGGAAAATGTTCTGTTGGTTTGGACTTACTTATGTAAATTTCAATTATATTTTACCATATTTTAGCATATGCGAGCTTTGTAGCTACGATAGCAGATTATATACCATTATGTCATTTATCCTTAAAATCGATTGTAACAACGGACTATATAAAAATAATTTCTTCTATATAATTAATCTTGGTATTTTTTTATTATTAACAAACATTCTATTTAGTGTTTACAAATCGCGAAACAAAAAATTTTAATATTTGTAAATCTAAGCTCACTTAATTTTATCCAAAAATAATGTCATTAATATTTCTGTTTTTGCTAAGAAACGAACTTCATTAAGAAGTAAATTCTTTGCAATTATCTCAAATTAATTCAATTAATCATTGGAGCATTTTATTTAATTAAAGTACTGCCATTAATAGAAATGTAGGCAGCGTCTAAGTATTGAATATCCTTAAGTACGCTCGAATACATTTACATTTTAAGTTTATTATGGCATTATGGCATTAATTGATATGAACAATTATATGATTTGTTTATTGTAATATATTATTTTTAGTTTGCTTTTAAAAAATTATTAATGAAGGCATTTGCAATAAAATATTTTATAACAATCGTTATTGATGATATTTTTACGATTGCCACCGTTTCCATTGATTTTGTTGGCAATGGTCTTATTATTGACAAAAGCTGTTGTTGTTTATTGCATGCCCGTTTCCCAGTTGGTGTTGGCGGCTCATCCAACACCACAATTGTTACTCGGTAATTTTTGCCCAAAGTTCATTTTGATAATTTTTATTTTATTATTTGTATCTTTTTCTTATCGTATTTTTTGCATTCTACTGGTATTGTAATCTTGAGCACTTTTGTTTTTGTATTATTATTTATGCACGAAATAAAATTTATTATACGCGACTCATTCATTTCGTCTGCGATGCTAATAAAGTTATTTTGTATGAATTTTATCTAGCGCACTTTCCGCTTCGTTTGCCTACAACAATAGAGAATCTCATAGAACGTTTTCCATTTGCCATTTTTTACACTTTGTGAAATTTATGTGCAAGCTCGAATACCACCAAATGCTTTGTGTTGATGGAGAACACTCGTTTGGAATCTTTTAATTTAATTATGCTAAGTTAAATGTGAATTTGCTGTGTGAAACTCTCTTCTTAAAAGTACCAAAAAATAAAAAAAATAAAATATAAAACAATAGCACGAATATTCAATTTTATTCATTACAATTTTTATAACAAATTTAAAGTTTTTAAGTCTTTAATATGCATACATAATTTATATTAAAATTAAAGAAAATTAAACAGCTTAGTGGATGCATATATATAGAATATTTTATATGTATGTATTAACTCGTAGAATATGCATTCTTCTCAATTTATTGCTAGGTGACTTTCTTTGCTTGGATATCTGATAAACAGACATACTTCCGTTTCAAATATTTAGGGATTTTTAACCATTTTAAAAGCAGATCTCGGATAAAAAAAACTCTAATCATGTAATATCACAGTTCTCTGTTTTTAGTGATAAGCAATCCGAGAGGCAATTTATTGTTTTCCAAGATTGACTATATATCGATTATATTTCGATTATAGTTTTTTGTAAGTATCCAAACATCAGAACTTTGGATCGTAATGATATTTATTACTTTTACAATGTGTATATCAATCTTATGATTAATATCCACGAAGTCTTCGGAGCGGCCTTCAATCTAAACCAATCTCCGGTACAATATTGTTATTGCCATTACAGACATATTGACATCACTCTATCTAAATAGTTCCCAAGGAATTCCAATTCTATTACGTAATCAATAAACCTATACTATATCTAATCAAAGCGCATATTTATTGAGTGATACAGCTATATAATAATACCTATGTTAATGATCAAGTACAAATTGTGTTGAAGAAGACAATTTTCTTTGATGAAAATGTTAAAAAAATTTTTCTTTCTTGAAAAAGTTTAAATTAAAAAAAAGCCTAGCGTGTTCTACTGCGTATTGGGTATGAGATCCTTACGTTTACCCCATTCAGTTAATATTCTTCTTTTAATATAGAAATTAAAATTCTCTTATTTTACTCAATATTTTTCTATCAATATCTTATTATTCGACGAACATTTGTCGACTTAGAAGAGTTAGCTTCTGTCATGCACATTTTTTCTATAATCTTTATTTGAAGCAAGGTTTCCGATTTTCATTTCAATAAAAACCTAAATATGTTTTCATAATAATCACTGTCCTGAAAATGGAGACACCCAAATAGCTTAAGTTCTTCTTCCTTCTCTAATGACTCTTATATATTATTTAATATAAACTATGTTTATGTAAATATGTATTAAAATATTGAACTTTTTATAGTTTTTAATTTTTTCTATTCACACTAAGTGATTTTCTTTTTATTGTGTCCATAAATTTTGCATTAAATGTACTCTCTTCTTATATTAATTGCTTTGACATTGTTGACTTACGCAAAAGTAAAATATCCTGTTGTGTGGAAATATCCTGCTGCTATTGACATTTCTGTTTTGACTTTAAATACTGCATTAAAAGTTATTGTTTTTATTATGAACATTATTTTTCAAGTTTTAATTAGGAAATCCTCTTCATCTATGCTCTTGAGCACTTGAACATGCTGTTGGCAAACCATGGGCGTTTAGTATTGTATCTTATATACATATAAATATATGTAAAAGTATGTACTAGTATAATTATTAACAATACAATTTTATGATTATTCAAGCCTTAATGTTTTGAATACTTGGACGTTAGTTGATTGTACAGTAAAATTTAGAAGATAGTTTACACAAGACAGTCTAATCACTATTTGCTTTAAGGACTTTGGTGGTAGCTGCCTTATAGCTTTCTTTTAATTTTACAAATATTAAAATAATTGTCAATGTTTATGTTTAAAAATTATTGTAAGGTGTTTCTATGCAATAGTTACTCAGCAGTTTGGTAATATATCGCTCCAATTTTGAACCATTGTTAGGTATTTTATTGGTTAATAAATCATAAAGAAATTCATTCAATAAACAACTATTATTAGTTTAGATAAATCCGTAACTATACCAGATTACAACCCTTAAAATTAATTGTATGTATTTTTAATTAATTGTATTACATATTACTTTGGATATGTGTATAATTAGAAACGAAGTTCAGTACCTTAGAGCTGATAACTAAAAAGTATTTTATTCGATAAAACCGAATAGAAACAATAAGATGTTCCAGGGTTTCCTTGATTTCCGGTTTTTCACATTTCATGCGTTCGTGGTATTAAGCTTGTGAACATGCTACAACCATACATTGTTCTGTTAAAATACCACAAAGCATTACTGCAGTTCTTTCGATCGAACGATAGCACAGATTTGATTGTTTTTTATCGAATATATATTTTTTGATAACGAAGTTGTGTCGAATTGTCTATATATATATCGCACAGCATCCTTATTACCGCGCTTTGGGCCGTTAGTGCGTATTATTTAATACGTACTTTTTTTAAATCCAATCATTTTAATTATTTATATACTTTTCTCAATCTGTTAGCTTAATATGAAAAAAAAAACGTAATGGCAGTAATTACGACTTTTTAAAAGCTTCTCCAACACAAATATGCAAACCTCAGAAACATTGTTTTAATAAAAAAAAAAAGCTTCAATAAGAATAAATTAGTTTATTGACGTATACTCGTATATTATTCATTCGAGCTTACCATACGGCGTTAATCCAACCAAGCTCACCAACGAAAGACCACCCAAATGCAAATTTCGTAGAACAGCTACACATTCTGAGGTTTATTTTTACTTAACTACTTATTTACTCACTTCGAATGTGATTCGTAATTCACTGGGCAAAATTTAATTTTTAATTATAGATACAAATAAATACATATAGTACTTGTATAGTAGAGAAACACACGAGTGTCACAATTGCATTTCTGATTTAATTGTTTAAAATTATTTAATTTGCAACACGTTTAAAGAACTTTGTTGTAGGTAAATTGATTTTTTATTACTGTTCATACCATAAAATAAAATTAATAAATTTTTATTTACTTTTTTCTAAACTTTACTGATTTTTATTTTACTTGCGAAAAAAATTTAAATTAACACATACCATATTATTAGAGAAAAATAGAACTTATTTACTTATCATTTGCAGTAACAAGCTCTTTAAAAAGAACTTGATAGTTCTCAAACTCATAACGTTTTTCTGCAAACTCAAGAGCTTCAGGAATCTCACTCATCTTTTCTCCTTGTAAAATTTTAGCTTTCATAATTTCATGCAATTCAGTAAGATGCCCATACATACTCGTCAACTCTTTCTGAGCTAACTCAATTGCATATTTAAGTCTACTAGGAGGTTTAGCAGTTTTAGGCCCAAGTTTAATCAGAGTTTCCTTGTGTTTTTTTTCACCGGTTGGTTTTAATACACAAATTACCTGGCTATCATCTGTGGATACCTTAAATATAAAAAAATAATAACATTAAATTATAAACCTCTTTACAGTAAATAGTTCTCACATACATCATTATGATCACAAAGTGTACTTGAACCTGAAGCAGACTCATCATCTTCAGCTTTGAACTTTTTATCTAATAAATAGTTAAATTTTTAAGCAATGATATTCTAAGCATTTAAGTCTTAAAACTTAGCTGAAGTCAATAATTTTTTAACTATAAGTTATCTATATTTGTCCCATATATATTATTATCACACCTGCTATTATAACATCTTATTACATAGTTTATTTACAAATGCATTATAAATATTTACTTATGTACCAATAATCAAGAAAAGAGCTTAAGAGGTTCGAGATATATAAAAATGTCTTCCTCTCTCTGCAGATGTAAATATGTACCTAAATAAAAGTTACTGTTGAAAACTTTTTAAACCTCTAAAAATATGTAACTAAATCTTATATCTTATATTAAGAACTGCATAAATATGCAATATATAAAAAATTATTAACGTTGGAGGAGAGAGAATGGAATTATTTTTTTTCTTTATACAATACCTACAGATTCTCAAAAACTGAAGAATATTGAATAATATATTTTTCACTTTAGTAGAGTAGTGCTTTATCAAGATAACATCAAAGTTTTTAGAAAAATATCAGATATAAAGATTGGTAAAGCAATTTTAAATAAACAACTTTCAATATGGCTACACTAGAGTCTATAATTAACATTAAATATCTATACAGTCTACTTATTTGCAGACACGACATGAACACTTTAAATGACATGACTTGAAATCTTAAGTATTTAAATATATATTTATAAAGAACTATAATATTCAATTATACTACATTGCTCTGTCAATAGCAAAGGATAGTAAAAAGATTATTCTACTTGACATTACATTTATTCGCTATTTGATTTTTATAGCATAATATAGAGTAGATGTAATATAAACATACCTTCGTTTTTGCCCCAGATAATAGCTTTTTGTAAAACAGGATCTCGCCCTATGGCTTTAATATACTTTGCCACTCGTTCTGCTTCTCTGCCTTGAGAATGTGGAGGAGGCGTCACTTGTATACCAATCTAGAAGTGAATATTACTAGTAACATATATACTTCAAAATAAATTTTTGTGTATACCTCTCGTTTTGACACTGTGAGGGTTTTTAACTCCGGAGCCTTATTTTGCTTATTGTTCACATTAATTTGGTTTGAGCCTGTAAAGTATCTAGCTTGTGTATTTATTTTTATTTTTATATTGATTCAATCTTACCTATTTTAATGTTATTCTTAGTACCTTCTCCGTTAGTTTTTACCACTCCATTATTAGGTATTTCAGTAGCTCTGTCTTCAACTACAGGAGATATATACTCACCTACCTCCACTTTTTTCATATGCCTACGTTTTTTCTTCGATACCATTGTAGTAGAAAATTTAGAATTATAATTTTTTTTTACTATGACACAAAACAAATTACATACACTGTAATCTTTTGCTCTAATATTTTTCCTTTTTTTATTTAGTTAAGTTAAATCATATGTCTAAAATTTGAATTTCTATATGCTTACTTAGTTTAATGTTATATCTATGTTATATAGACAATTAAGGTCATGTTATATAGGCAGACATGGAATTACATCAAATGTAAAATGGTTGTTCTCAATATAAATTAAATATTTGAGACTGAAATAAAGAAAAATTGGCTATCTGTTTCTTGTAACGTTCGCCAAAATATGTAGTGTTGGTCAATAATAGTAGTATTGGTATTTGAGACTTTTAGGAGCAAATATCTATATTTGGTAAATAAATAAGTATTTTCCAACTTCTTTGAAATCGTTTATTTGATAAGTAGTTCACAACATACTATATGGCAAAACTATATATTCATCCATTAAGAATTAAGCAATCACTAAGCGCACGCAGATCTTAGATCAATCATTGAATAATCATGAAGATTATCAGGAATACTCAAGTTAGTGAGTGAGATGGGCGGGACTCTGCAGAATCCCCCCAGCTATCATAGAGTAAAAGTGCCCAAAAAACTCGGAAAAGGCTTAACATAACAATAAGAATTATTTTTGGAAATAAATGGAACATTTCTAGTCGTCTATAAAATTTGTATCTATTATATATATTTGATTTTTTAAAACGACATTTTTAAAAGTTTTATTATCCTTTAACTTTAAATTTCTGCAAATGATTAAAATGTTTTTAGACATTTTCAATTATTATAAATCTTCACGGTTTTATATCCTTACTACAAAAAACTTTAATATTAAATAATATTTTTGAAAATTTTGTATTTCGAACTATATTCCCTTAATAAAGAATAAATCTTACATCAACTGAAAAGAGACATAAATACAACGATTTTATGTATGTTTGTCTGTATTTTGCAACAAGACAGTCTTAATAAACAACGTTTAATCCATTTTTGCTACAGCTTTAAACTAATTTTCAATTTGTTCTACGTAACCAATTTTTGCAATGTATGTTACAGGTTCTTTCCTGACGTGGAGTTTTTAGATGACATTTTACTAGGAAGCGAGATTTTGCTGTCGTTGTAATTATTATTGATTGCCCAAGCACTGTCAGTCTCTTCTAAACATGTGGCATGTGCATATCACACATTTATTAGTACATATAGCAAATATGTATATATCTTCAACTGCATGTGACAAACCAATCAATTAACTGCTGCTTAAACACTTTACAACACTGCCAAATACTGCACTGACATCTTATATTGTTGATGCAGTGTCATTGATATGCTGCAATATTTTCTACTTCAGTCCACACTTAAATGCTGCTCTTCTTTGCAAATTTCACTTTTTCATGCTTTAATGTAGATACAAATTATTTTCATCTTGCAACAGCATCATAAAAACTGACACGCGACACCTACTCCGCCCCCTCATTTAGCCCATGTAACCTGCAGAGCTATTGCTGCAACCATTTAACTTTAATAATAAACTTTTCTTGACACTAATTAGCCCTCTGCACTTTTCGTCCTTTTGTGGTCTTCTACTATTTATTCAGTACAATATTTAATTTCACTGTTCGTATTGATTCATTAGTTTTTGAATTAACTTTTTAGAAACTTTTGCAATTTCGTGACTTTCGTTAATTCTAATTCATGAAATCAACTTCCTTTCAAATGTTCTATTGATGCTGCTTCTGGTAGCTGCTTGTGATGGAAGTAACCTTATTAAATAAGTAATTAGTGAACTTTTGCTGGTAATTTTCTCTCGTTTCCCCCTTTAAAACTTTGGGCTTTAATTTACGTAAATAATTTTGTTAGATCTAAGTAGAGTATGTAACGCATGTACTCACTCAACAGTTTCAATTTCAGTACTCACAACATTGTAAATATCTTTTTTCACTTGCAGAAACAAGCACTCTTTAATACAATAGAACAACAATAAATTTTATACTCTAAAGTCAACTTTTGCAAATGTGGTTAATATATCACATGAGTATGTTGGATTTATTTTATTAATTAAGCAAGTTAAAATAAACTTTATAACCGCAAACTGCATCAGGATAATTCAATCAAAAGTTTAGATATAAAAGTTACTAGATTTAATGTTTGTCGTTAATAAATTTTTAAAAGAGGAAATAAACAGAAATATATTATTCTCAATAGAAATTAAAATACATAAATTTAAATAGTTATTTCACTATATTATATGCAGCGAATTCGCTTAATCTTACTCCAAGCATATATAACTCAAGACATAAAGACATTGCTCCAATAACTAGAATCATAAACAAACGTTCATTTCAAACCTATTCTCTTAAACTTCCCTGTTTATTTACTTTCGCTTTAAAAATGGTCATACAAATAAATAATGCCGAGGTCGAATACTATATCTACGCATATCTCCTTGAACGGTAAATGTTTCACATAATACATGCATCTCTTCTAAATAAATTTTTAAATTATTCACAACCTGGATATTTGTTGGATACTAGTTACACATATATTGACAAAAAAAACTTATCTTATTTGACTGAGAGAGAGATCAACTAAATCGTTTCATATATAACTTTTATGTACATATTCAAAACTAGTATTACGCTTATAACACACCTCATCCTGTACTGGATATCTGAAAATATAGTGTTCTAGGTAAATGATCAAGCCAATAAACTCTTCAGAAAAGTTCATAATAGACATTGAACCTACTTACAGCAATAGCACGTACAGCAATATATATATATATATATATATATAGAATATGAAATAGAGTTAGGAGTTATATATAGTAACCAGTTTGTTTTTGTATCCCGTAGTCGGCAAACCCTATGACATCCAAATTAAAATTCCTTCGTATTAAAGGAATTATCGGTGTAGAATAATTTTAGCAGGGATTCGGAACATGAATTATAAGTAAATGAGATTGGGCGAAAGCTGTAGGTGAAGGTAATGAAGAGATTACGTCTAAATGTACCACGGTTAATAAGTTTGGCCATCATGATAGTACGGTACTAGATATCACTTGAGCTCTGTGTCTGTCTTGAAACAATTTGACAGATGAACAGATATAGAGCAATAGCTTCGTATAAATTACATATTGGTAATTAGGTAAAGCTTGTGACTTTTGACAGATGAACAGATATAGAGCAATAGCTTCATATAAATTAGTGTTAAATTAGGTAATTAAGCTTATGGCTTTATCTAGTGCGATTAGAAAAATTCTTGCCGCTATAGGCAAGTTAGGTATATCATTTTATATGAGGAAGAATAACATCCGTACCTTAAAATTCATTGTGTTAGGAGTGTGTCCGTTTAAATGTAACACTCTTACAGTAAGCTTTGTAATCCGATTATTGATCCATTTATGCTACCATAGACAATCGAAGCTATTAATGTGAACAAGTATTAACTTTCTAATGTTTATTCTTTCACTTTGTGTTACTCGATGGGCGTTAAGTTAAAGGAGGCTACCTATCTTGTATCTCAATATCTATACAATATCTATTCGTTTCATTTTCGTAAAAAAACATTAAAAGTTTTACCATAAGTAATCAAGATGGATAGCTATTTATCCGCCAATTATTTAATTGTACTTCGCATTAGATAAAAATTACTTGAATTTATGATTCCTGGATGAAGTTTGGTTCTTTAAGACTTATCCGATATTTTCGATTTAATGTGCAAAATAAAATGACTACAAAAATTACACATATAAATTATTGTATTGGACGGTAACAGTCACGTACGTAACGACCACACCCATCAGCTAATTCAAAAGAAAAAAATAGAACATTTTTCGGAAACTTTATAAGTTGTTCAACTTCAATTTTATGTCAAAACTTTTAACACTACGAAGCTACGAAGTTGAGTCCACAACGTACTCCGATGTACTTGAATGTATGTGTGACTTTTTACATGGCTGTTGTAAAAAGATTGTATGCTTCAAGGACCAAAGTCATGTATGTACGTATTCCCTCTATTCGCATCTATGAGTTTCTGAATCTGTGTGCATCTATCTTTGTCGCTTGTTAATGGTTTCATTTGTTTTATATAAAACCTTTATTTCAGTTAATCGAATTTTATTATTTATGAGCTCTTTTCATATTTTGTATTCCGAGGATTTTTTCTATTTTTATTCACGCAACATTGAGGATTTTCTTTTTACTCTGACTTTGCTAACAAAATTTGTCATATCTTAGCACTTTTTTCACTGCTTATAAATTTAATGTCTTCATATTTTCGTTAAGGCGTTACATGGGGAACGGATGACATTTTGCTCGTGGGTTTTGATAACTTTTTTTACATTTGCTGCCAATTTTAAACTTTTCGTTTTATGAAACAATTTCTTCTTTTTTCTTCTTTTTTCACATTTATTGAGTACTACAAGTATGTGTATCTAAACTGTGAAGTGTAAGGTTTTCTGGGACGATTATTGCTCGAGAATATGCGTGATACTGTTTATGAGTGTAAAGAGTTTTAATTGCTTTCGCTGTTGGTGTCACTTATAAAGACAATTTTCAGGGGTTACGCGATGTAAAAAGTTTTTCAATTAAGTCGTTGATTGGGTTTCTGCTTTGTTTCTCTTTATATATTTATTTTAATAACAACCATGAAACAATACATAATTTTATCACCTATTTTTAGTCGCACATACTTTGGGTGGTAATTAAAATACTTGTTCCCTTAATGTCTTTATAAGTTTTTATAAGCCACTTTCATGTGCTGTATAAAGTAAGACGACATTATTATAAAAAGTTATATATTGTATGCTTCAAGCTAGGTATTTTAGTTTAAATTCAATAAGAATATTTTATAACCACAAAATGTGTTAATATTTGCTATAGATACATTAAAGTGATCATTAGAGGATTTAATTATTTTATTTAATATTTTAAAAAATTTGCTTGAAATATTACAAAATAGTATTTCTATAAACTGATTTTTTTAAAGCTTAATCGTAAGTTTAAACGAAAATTTCAAAATTAATATCA